TTTTCCACCCCCCCCCCCAAAAAATTCTGACATAAATGCTTTCTAAAGCATAAAAATGCATGAAAATATGTATAACAAATACATGTTAGAATTAGATTATTGCACAATAAATGAGAGTTGTGTATAATGTATCAAACAAAAAATAGAGTAAAGCATAAAAATTATGGTCATTTAACTTTTAACTGCGTCCTCATCGTTTTTTTCCCTTTTTAGTTCATGTGCTCTCTCAGAAGTGGTTTTTGCCTGGCATTTTGTAAAGAACTGATCCGAGGATGTTTGCTTTTGTTGGCTTTTAACAATCCTTCATAAATGTCCAAGGCAAACATCAGCATCGTGAGCTATCACCTGACTGGTGAACACTTTTTCTGGGTGATTCACATTTATGTAAAACTATCGGAACGTCTCATGGCCCGAGTGGCGAATGATGAGGACGCTGCATAGACACATATCTATCCATCTAAACACACAGACTCATACGGTAGAGGTCCCTCTTAGCCAAATTGGATACCAGGATGATGCTCAGGAACTGCCAATGGCAGAGAAGCTATAAGTATGTTGCGCTCAGGAAACTCTGAACTGCAAGTAGCAGCCCATACTGTATTTTTTCCTTTCGTTTCTACATTCTTTTTTTTTTTTTTTTTTTTTTTTATGTTTTTATGATTGTGTTGAGACAATATTTGAAATCACATGTAAATTTCATCTAATTGTCTAGCCTTGGTGTCCCAGCTTTAAAATGACGCTGTTTTTTTTAAGACTCAGCAACTGAAATGCACCAAATACACAACATCAGCTCAAGCCTCACAAAGCAGTGAGTGTGGTTTGAGAATTGAAAAAATATATCTATAAAGACAGAGGGAGATAACTACATTTTCTCTCGACCTTCTCATTAGGACTTGTTGAGTCATTCGGTTAAATTAGGCTTTTGCTGAGGTTGTTCCCCCAGGAAGTGGTTGCACTGTTGTTTGAAGGCACATGCTGGCAAGATTTTATGCTTGACAAGAGGGTGCCACTTATTGTGGAGATGAGCCACATACTCCATGTTGCACACAATACAACACAGCCATATTGTAAAGTACTTTTCATGTAGAAACATGGGCTGGTTGGTTGGTTGGAACTGTCACACAGCTTTTTTTTTTTCTTTGTAAACTCTGGCTAGTTGATCCAACACTCTATGGTCAAATATCACGTTCTAATCCTCCATCCACATGATTGTCACATATCACAGTTAAAAGTGTGAGGATGCAAAGGTACTGTCCTTCAAGTTTTATTATACATCTGTTAATTTGTTATTACATTTGTATGGTGGTTATAAATGTTAAGTTTTTTTTATGACAGTCAGACCCTGCAACTAACTAATTAAATTTCCATTATTTTCTATTCTATATCTGAACAAATAGAACAGGGGTGGCCAACGAGTCAGAGACGAAAAGCCAATTTTTTGACTGTGTTACTGCAAAGAGCCACATCATACCCTTCCTCGCGTGCGCACACATACACGCGCACACTTTTTTGCCCAAAGATCGACTTTTGAAGCGATCAACTTCCCACGATCGACCCATCGCGCACGTGCGCGCACGTGCAAGCACACACACACACACACACACACACACACACACACACACACACACACACACACACACACACACCCGTGCACGCACGCCATAATGAGCAACAGTCGGAATGGGCCGAAAATGAATGAAAGCTAAAGACACAAACAAACAAATCTTTTTTTCCCCACCCAATTCCTCCTCCCACCCCTTGCGGTCGACTTGGGACCAGCTCGCTGGCTCCTGGTCGATTGCGATCGACTAATGGGCACCCCTGCCTTAAAATCAGAGGTAATTTGCTGACTAGCTTAGAGTTTAGCGCCGTTGTTTGCGCATAAGCGGTGATGCAGTCATCTGACTGGTTGCCCTCTATGTCAATCAAGTAACGGGATTGATGACAGCCTGACGTAGTACGTTCGTGTATTTAGCGCCTTTGTTTGAATGGCATCGCCACTGCCGAAGCGTTTTCGACGCTTGTCGTGTGAAAGCCCGGGAGTCGCATTGAACCAGACAAAGAGCCGCACGCGGCTCGCGAGCCGTGAGTTGGCCACCCCTGAAATAGAGGGAAGAACAGCACTTTTTGAGTGTTTACATTTGACAGCAAAGTTCCTCACTGTAGGCCAATATTGTTTTATATAATGACTTAGTCGGACTATTTTTAAAAACAGTGTTTCTCCAAACTTTTCCAGTTTAAGATTAAAACTGGTGTGTGTTGCACAATAAAAATTGTGTCAGAACAGATTCAAATAGAGTGCTGGCGTTAAGAACAGATCAAGTCTATGGAGGGCACTGTAGTCATACCAAAACAGACTGGTGTACCCTGTTAGCTCTGGGCAAAGGTGATTTCTGTCTATGACTCATGTTTACTCATACTTCTATGAAAAATATGCACACATTGGCATTCCTGAAACATTCTGTGACGTATGTAGCTTGCTCACCTTTTTATATTAGAATGGAAATTCTGAATTTAAAAAAAAGGAACAAACTAATGAATCCTTTACACTAAACAGGCACAAAACAGTGTGGAAGACGACCGGGCAGGGTGACTGATATTTTTAAAACATTTAGGTACAGCACTCCTTAAGTGGAACGTGCGGATGTGGTCCTACTATTTACTGAATGACCACGAGACCCCAGTTGCTCCAACATGGTTACTGATTTGTCAGTGTGTTCGTGCTATCACTTTTCACCTGTTGCTGGACGTGACTAAGGAGCTGAGTTATGCAACACAAGTGAGCCTTGGCTGGTAACAGGCACCAGTACGCCAATGTAGACAACTCAAGTGAATCACATACTAACTCCACATGAGGCAATGAGGGGGAAAAAAATCAATGGGCTAACCTTGTCACGGTAAACTCAGTTTCAACAGCACTCAATATGCGACATTGATTATAGAGTAAATAGAGGCCAAAAACACTCTCAATTGGAAGCTTTTTGATAAAACACGCACACACAGTATACAGCATTCATGTGTTGAAGTGAAAGAACTGGGTGAAATGTGCGAAGAAGGGGGCAGGTACTTCCTTCTATTTTGACACTTCCTCTGGTATGATACTTTTGAGAAATAGGACAACGTATCAAAGCACAAACAGCTGGTTTGTACGTTCAAACATAAACGTAATTGGAGGTTGAACGCTTGATGGCTTTGTAGTTTCACTTAAAACGCGAATTTAAAACAAGCGACATGAGCGGAGAACCTATGAACCAAACACAATGTGATTTGCCAGCAAATGACGCTAATGGGATACTCACAAATTTCTTTTTGCCCTCTCCATCTTCATAGCCCTTCTTTGACTTCTTGTCTTTCTTGGGAGCAGGAGCCGAGGCGGCGTATCCCGTGTGTGGATCCATAGTTGTAAAGTTAATCCTTTTCTTTCAACTCGGAGTCAAAATAGTCTCCGCGTGGAGGTAATCTCACTGACGCAAAAAAAAAAAAACACTCAAAGCAAAATGACTGATCTGACGAACTACCAAAATAATAGGGGCCAAGTCATAACAATGATTATAATCTCCTCGAGTCCGGGTTGGTCCTACGGATGGATAACTAGCCACAATTAGCACAAGTTGCTAATGATCTGGTCCGGAGCCAAACTCGCCGAGTGAATTCTTCTCTAAGCCGCCTGTCTGTCTTCCAGAAGGAGGGAAATTCAAAGTGCTGCGAGTCGTCGTCGGGATGTACCCAGAATAGGCATTGCAATATCCTTTAAAAATACAAACCACGACTTCAGCCACCGGCATCCGCGTGTAACGTCAATACAATTTAATACGAATTGAGTTTTGTTTACTAAAGTTTGGAGCGAACGTAGCTAGCGTTAGCTTTAGCTAGGCTACACAAGGTAAACTCCCAACTGCAAAATCCACTTTTAGCAGATTGATTCAGACTGCAGGGGTGCGTCGTCAATGTTGCCCTGGCACTACTGAGGCTTCCACTGGACTTTTCATGCCTGCTACTCGTCAAGTCAGCTTTTCAATTCCGGCATGACAGCAGCAAAGACAGGACTTCTACACCGAGTCAGTCGTCTTCCTGTACTTTCTTCTAACAATCGCCCTGAAGCGGTTTGGGGGCGGGGGCAGCATCGGACTACACCTGAACTGCTTCCTGATGTACTGCTTGCACTTAGCACTCTTGTTGCTAGATATAGCAACTTTTCAGACTACATATGAGCTGTTTTTCCGACCCAAACTCCTAGCAATAATGATAATTACCTTTAAAAACCGAGTGTCAGTTTTTGAAAAGTTTTAAACGCTAAAACCACGCCCCCTGAACGACTTGTTTTAAGAAATCCTGACGCGTTAAATTTTCCGTTGGATATTGCTTAAAAAGTAAGACTGAGACCTGAGGCGTTTTCAGTTAATCTGACATACATGCGTTTGGTATGCGTGCAATGAGAACCGACGCAAGCATAGGATGCAAACACGACACATAAGGCCGGTGACGTGCCAACATTTGAACCAGGGACAATTTGAAACCATAACTTCAAGATGCTTTCGAGGAAAGTGTCAAATCGAATTTTTCTCACTTCCGATGAGTTAAAATGCACCCGAACGCTCCATTGTACTGGGAGGTCCGAGTTGGAAAGTCTGGAGGGGGACCCCGAGGGTGACCCCAAGTTCACTGATCGACTTCACTGTGACGTCACTTGACAATGGCGACCCCCCATGGAGACACAGACCGCGGATGGCAAAACACGATTCACAAGATGATTTACTCATATTTATCTGTATTTGTACATTATTAAAAAAGTGTAGTTATTTGACATAGCTTCACATAACACAATGTGATCTGCAGTGACTGCGTGAAGATATGCCATTATCTCCCTGCGTGAAGTTATGTGGTGAAATGAATGAAATGCTTTGAAGATAAAATATTCCTTTATTTATATAAATAAAAGTGATCATGAAAAAGGTTTGCCTGAGGTCAAAATGAGTTGTGATGAACCTGAACAACAAACAATCAGAACCAGCCATCTTCGTTGTGAACATTCGCCTCGATCGAACACTTTGAGTTCGGAAATGATTTCCAAACGTTGTCAAATGCAGCATAAATATCAACCACTGCTCCACAGCACATTAATCTATAGTGCGAGATCAGGTGTGACGAGGAAAGTATCTAACCAACCTATGTATACACTTAACATTTTTGTTAACGATCACCCTAGAATGTGGAGGTTAAGTGTGCTCTTTTATTTATCTGGTCTGACTAAAATGAAATATAATCCTCCAAAAGTATTTTAATGATATGACAGTGTATGGTTTCCATGTTTAGAGAATAACCGTCCCCCAGGCCCCCATCCCAATTACTTGTCTGTCTGCGTATATATCATTCGATATATTGTTTTGTCTTTCTACAGTCTAGTGCAGGGGCCCCCAAACTTTTTTGCCCCACGGACCGGTTTATGTCAGACAATATTTTCAGGGACCGGCATTTCAGGTGTGGCGGAAATAATACAATGAAATAATATGGTATGAGCTGCATGAAAACTGGCGTTTTCGAAATATAATAATAAACACAAGGAGCGTCTAATCTGGCCGCAACACTCCGATCGCTATGGCAATGTTTAATGCCTTCAAAATACGATACAACGGAAATTCAAAGTGCATGAAAATGACGACTCACCACAGCACCGAGCTTGATTTTCTGCAACCAGACGGTCCCATCTCGGGGTAATAGGAGACAATGACACCTCAAGTGCGAACCTATTCTAAATTTGATACTGAGCCAGGGCGAGGTATCAGAAATGTTGTGTTTCATTTCTGAGTGCCTATCTCCAACGAACCTATTCTAAATTTGATACTGAGCCAGGGCGAGGTATCAGAAATGTTTTAAAACACGGAGAAGCCGGTAATTTTTCAAAATAAAACATCTTTCGTATTCCGAAATAAATAAAACGGAATTAAGGCAAGTTCTTTCTGTGCGGCCCGGTACCAAATGCCCGGCGGACCGGTCCCGGTCCGCGGACCGGCGGTTGGGGACCCCTGCTCTAGTGGCACTCTGTTATTGGGCATCGGATGCGCTGTCATATCAACTAACATCCATCCACCCATCCACTTTCTGATCCGCTTATCCTCACAAGGGTCGGAGGGTGTGCTGGAGCCTATCCCAGCTGTCTTCAGGCAGTAGGCGGGGTACACCCTGAACCAGTTGGCAGCCAATCGCAAGGCACACGTAACCATCTGCGCTCACGATCACACCTCGGAACAATTTAGAGTGTTCCATTAACCTGCCATGCATGTTTTTGGAATGTGGGAGGAAACCGGAGTACACAGAGAAAACCCACACAGACATGGGGAGAACATGCAAACCCACACAGGGAGGTCGGAGCCGGAATCGAACCCTGCACCTCTCCACTGTGAGGCCGACATGCCAACCAGTCTTCCACCGGGTCGCCCATCAACTAACATAACATTTACAAATATTGTAACATTCAATTTTGATGGACTTGCACTATTTAAAATTATACTTTCAGTTGCAAATAGTATAGACTTACTGCATTATCTCCTAGCCTCTATTATTGCAAAATAATGTAACCAGGATACAAACAGCTCTCAGCGTGATGCAATAGAGGTCTGCATCACTGCAGGCCATATCCACAACAGTAAATGATATATTAAATAAAGAGGTCTTAGACAATGTCAAACAAAAGTGAGCATTATTTTCGTAAAAGTGTTTTTGAATAACAAATGTAAGACAAATTCTGCACAAGTTGTTCAATTTCTATTGTTACTGTTACTGAAATGATTACTTTAGAAGAAAATATATCGGTCAATACAAGGCATCATAATTATTACGTTGGCGTTTACATCTAATCTGTATGCCTGTTTCATTTCGTTTGTCTCTTTGCACACACAGGAATCAACAAAAAGCCCTGCGGCTCTACCAAGTGGTTAAACTGTGAACTGCAAGGCAACCACAGTGCGGTGCTAACGACAGCTTGATACACACATCCCACTAACTGGGCCAAATATGAGCATTTCACTCTGATGTGTTCAATGACAGCAAAGGCTGAGTTCTTGGTTGTCTCAAAAGCTTATCCTGGGTGACTTTTCAGTGTTGCGGGATGTGTTAACACTGTTTAATTCCTCATGATCTGCTGACAAAATAGTCGCACGTGCCAATCATAAATGTAAAAGCTGTTCATTATTTACAATCGCACATCCTCACGTCTGGGGTTAACACCGAGTTTGGCCGAGTCACAGACAAATGATAACCAATTCATAAAGATATTGAAGGTTGTGCTGTTGCTATACACAAATCGTGAGCAGAACAGTGTACAAGTAGTTGCCTCAGTGAACTTACTGTTCCCAAATGAATAAAAAAACACCAATGTTTATTTTCGTGGTTTTTTTTTCACACTGCAAACATGACTTTGGTAATTATGCTAATTAGGCGAATGAAATGAAAGAGCCACTGGTTAGGATAGGTTGAGTGTTTGTGTAACGTGTCTCACAAGTCATTCATAACATTAAGAGAAGAGTTTGCCACAACAATGTAGTCAACAGATCAGTTATCAGCTAGTTGCTTCTCTTTTTTTGTCTGCTACTACGCTTTCATCTTTGTATTTTTCATCAGTCTGGATTGTGGCTCCCCCTGTACCACCATGCTGCCTCTCACAGGTCAGTCTTGGTACAATGACAGTCTGGCATGTTGTGCTGTTAGCCTGAAGTACACTACACATGATACGCAGTGACAAGCACACAGCCTGAGTTTTCCTATATATGGGTGGGGTTTCTCACATTATAAATGAATGTTAACTAAAATCTTTACAAAAATAATTATTATCTTCCCTGAGAAATCTTTTAAAGCTAGAACTTGTAGGCCCTATGTGTTGTTTAAATGTAGTTACTCATAATTGGTTGTTTTAGTTTCTGTGTTATGGTGCGTGCACAGAGATGTTTTGCCTTAGTCGTCCACCGTGCCACCCCAATGAATGCTGAAATTCAGTAACCCTATTTCTCCTGTTTTTACGTAATCCCCGGAGTCCAATACAAATGTGCTTTACCTCTGAAAAACATACACACAGCGGTCTGCACTGGATTACACTGATAGACTCGTTTATCCGTCGTGGTATGTGAGAGATGTTTCCAACAACAAGGTTGAAGAGGATTTGAGCACGACTGGTGGTAATGAAGCTGACAGTGCTGCAGTTTGGTTGATTGCTCACAAGTTGTCTTGTACTTCAGCCTCAAGTCTTACTTCCTCATGACACTGACACTATGAATTGAGGAAAGGTTAATTAAAAATGAAAAAATGGTACGGCCGGCAGCCAGATGGCTTTCAAAAAGATGCCCTGTGAGGCTGTATTAAATCACAGCAGTGACCTCCGCAACAAAAACGGCAGCATTCATTCATTCGATGATACAAAGACTGCAGTTTAAGAGGGTTTCAAAATCTTTATGTCATAGTGTTGTCTTGCAGTCTGCCATTTAATCGCTATTGTACAATCTACAGAAGGATAGGGAATGTGATTTGGTCGCATCATTGCACGAGACAAACATTTCCATACTGAGGATAATAGCTGCCATGAAAAATAGAACTTTCAAGGCAATGCTAAAACATTATTCTTGATGAATTCCAGAATTCTGGTAAGTCAGAACTTTTCTTTAACTTGTCCCGGAAAAGTGGTTAGGACTGCACGACTGTCCGTGTTTTATGTTATGTGTTGTGTTTATTATTTTACTTTATGTTAACTGTTTTGTTAAGCGATTTGTTACAGCTGCCAGTGTTGTGAAAGCGCTATATAAATCAGCATGTATTGTATTGTATTGTATTGTAACTTCAGGAAATTGTGCACGGTAACGGCCTAAAGTTCCTATTTGCATGTTAGGGGCAAATAAAGGTACGGTACCCTGAATTCAGTGAGATGTGGTCTCAATGCATCTGACATCACCCACAGAGATGCACTGAAATACTTTAGAAATTACATTTTCAAGCTGCATTCATTGATGATAGAAAATTTCACTGTTTAACCCAATTGGTTTTGCTTGAAAATTGGTGTGTGTCATAATTACCTATATATCTGCATAATCTGTATGAAATACGACCAAGGCTCCCAAAAATATTCTTTTTCACTTGTGCATTCAAAAACAAA